TGTGGCCGGTCCATTGCAGTTGATCACGCACTATGTTTGTCAACTTTTAGATCTGGAATTATGGCTTGGTATTTTTGTTGTTGTAGTTTTGATTTTTGCACATACATTTGCACTGCTACTCTCAACTTGAATCATAGATTGCAGTATTCACCTCCTTCTTGTTTTTCAACACTCAGCACCATTGAATAAGCTTAACTCATACTTGGAAATTGATCCAAAGCAGGATTTGGTTTTTAACAATTGTCATATGTATCATTCAGTCCTAAGAGGAAATTGCATGAGTTTTTCTCTCCATCTAGATTTCTGACGAATACTCCTCATAACAACCACAGGTACATTCCTTCTGCAATTCCACAGATGCCATTTGGGAATGGCGGCCTTAAACAAGCAACTCATCCCAGAGTTTTTAAGTTTTGTGTTAGTAATTAGTCTACTGTTTGGTTGCTTTTGTAATAGTTACTGAAATTATCTTTTTTTTTATTTGGTAAATCATAGGTCCATTAGATTCACCATACCTGGTGGACAGTTCATTCCAAAGATCCTTGGAACTTTGATAATACAGAAATGCTTCAACTATATCTTTAGAAATAAAGTTTAAGATCCAAGATGTTACCAGATTGTCGATTCTCTGCCATCTCTTTCTTAATGGAGATCCAGCTACAGGTTCCTGTTCTTCACCAGTGACAAATTCATACTTGTCTCTGGCCTTTAAGGCTATGGTCATAGATCTGCTTCATGATAAGAAATTCCTGCCATTCAAGGAAATATTAATGAGGTTTGAAGCTAAGTTTTCAGATGCAGAAACTTTATAAGTTTCTGATTCAATATTTGTGTTTTCATTGTTTTGGTTAATATTTTATGCCATTGATTTCAGGAAAGGAAGCTTGAATGAAGCTTTAGAATTTCAAATACCAGATCAGGCTCTGATACCATGAATAGAAAAGCAGAAAAGAAAAATAGATGAAGAATTTGTATATTTCTTCTCTCATAGTGAAAATTGTACATTGGGTTCTATTTAAATTTACAAGTGTGTAGTATATTCTTATTCTAGGACCTACTGTATTGTATATTTCCTCATGTAACAGA